AATATATAAAAATGTCAATTTATGAGAAAGAGTATCGGACAATTTTAGTAGATAAAGAGGCATTATTTAAGATCTGACAAGTTCATTATCAAAATTGATCATAAAAGTCTAAAATACATCTTAAAACAAAAAATCCACACTTTAATTCAAAGAAAGGGGCTTACTAAGTTGTTGGGATTGAGGTATGAAATTTAGTATGGAAAGGAAACGGAAAATCTAGTAGCTGATACATTATCTAGAAGGATGTCTGGTTCTTGTGATGCTATAGCCAAGCGTAATGACGAGACTCTTTATGCAGTAACTACTATGGTACCAACTTGGTATAAAGATGTAGATTCATATAAGCAAGACATTAAGGCACAAGAGATTACTACTGCCAAATCTCTTCATGCTGATGCCTTTCCATAGTTCTCTTATGATGAAGGTAAACTGAGGTATAAGCATAGAATTTTTATTGGATAAGATAAGAAACTGAGGAGAAAGTTATTAGAAACTGCTCATAACTCAACTATTGGTGGTCATGTAGAAGTGCTGAACTCTTGCAGGAAACTTAAGGGTTTCTTTTATTGGCCAACTATGAAACCAATGGTACAAAACTTTGTGACAGAAAATGATGTTTGTATGTGAGCAAAATCTGAGAGGTTGGTTTATCCAAGACTACTGCAACCATTAGCTATTGTAGAGGGAGCATGAAAGGATATTTCCATGGATTTTGTAGAGGCTCTACGCAAATCTAAGGGTAAGGATGCCATTTTAGTGGTTATTGATAGGTCCATTAAATACAAATACTTTATAGCCTTGTCCCATCCTTTTTCAGCCAAAGATGTGCAAGGAAATTCATGGAATAGATTTATAAGCTTTATGGGTTACCAGCTTCTATTATCACTAATAGGGATAAGGTATTCCACTAGCCTGTTTAGAAGGAATTGTTTACATCATTAGGCATTAAACTCTTCATGAGTTTAGCTTATCATTCTCAAACTCATGGCCAAACTAAGAGGTATACCACCTATTTAAGGTGTACGTGTCTAGACTGTCTAAGGAAATAGAATCATTGGTTGTATTGGCACAATGGTGGTATAGCACTAGCTTTCATTCTGCTGTACAGATGAATCCTTTTCAAGCCTTGAATGGTTATCCACCACCAGTCAGGAAGATTGTTCTTCAGGGTTCAACCACAATGGCTTTTGTCTAAGAGTTATTGTGGGAAAAGCTAGCAACAGATTTATTTCTAGGAGCTCAGTTGGGAAAAAATCAGCATCACATTAAGTAGATTGCTGACCAAAGGTGGACTGAAAGAGAGTTTGATGTTGGTAACAAAGTTTACTTAAAGTTTCAACCTTATAGACAAATGAGTTTAGCATTATGAAGGGATTTCAAACTGAATCTCAAATATTTTGGTCCTTATAACATTCTGCAAAAGATTGAAAAGATGGCCTACAAGTTAGAATTACCACCAGGTGCTCTTATTCACCTTGTCTTTCATATTTCCTTACTAAAAAGCAAGGTGGAAAATAATATATGATGTTGTTTCCACAACCCTACCTTCCATTGATGATGAAGGTCACTCAAGACTTTCTCCTACGACTATTTTGCACAAGAATATTATGATGAGAATAATCAGACAGTAATGATAGGGCTTATGCAATGGGCTGGCTTACTGTGGAGGATGTCACTTGGGAGGTTTTGGAAGATTTAGAGCTGTAATTTCCTGGTTTTTACTTTAATCTTTGCGGACAAGGATCTTTTATAGGAAGAGGCAATGTTACATACTGTATTATTAGGGTTATTAGTTAGTTGGTATTAATGACTGGTTTAGGGTTAACTAGGCCAGTGACATGGTATTAATGAGTGGAATTAGTAGATGAGGTGGCATTTTTCTTGTGAGAGTTAGTTAGGAACAATAAAAGGAAGGAAAAATAGATGCTATCATTCATTCATGTTGTAAAACAAAAATCAATACAGAATTCTCTTCTTCAATCTTCTTCTTCTTCTTCAGGTCTTATTTTTTAAGAAAAACTCGTAACGAACCCTTGATTGCTGCCAAAAAGATCAATTAATGGAAGAGAAAGAGAAAATGTAGTATTTGTTGATTTTTGCTTATGCATAAAACCCGAGCGAGAAACCTCGTAGTCAGCCAGATTTCTAATGTGGCAAAATGAATAAATTGAGGAAACCGACCTTGGTCCAAAGTCCAATTATCCAATTTGAAGTTTATAGCTTTTCTTTCTCCTTATTGTTTTTCTAGCGAGATTGGTTAAATTTCAGGTTTGATTATGACAATCCATTAATCTACACAATGATTTTAATTCGGAGATTTGACATTAATAAAGAAATATTTTTTGCTAAAAAAAGAGGGGGACATAGGTTATTGGGCTTGTAAACCTTTTACGTTTTTCTCTTTCCAAATGTATAAACACTTGCAGCTCGGTGGAAGTTTAAGGCCGAGTAATCCATGGTTGTGATCTATCCTTCCCTTCCACCCAAGTATCTATGGCATAAAGATGTGACAGTTGCATTGCGAATGTGGAACCAATCTTCGGAAAAGAAGAAGAAACAGAACCCACACATAAATTTTAATAGGAAGCCAAGTTGGTAATTGTTCACTGCATTCTTTAATCCTTGCCCCGTTGCTTCAATTTGATTAATATCAACTTGGATACGCATAAAATTGGGATTCCTTGAAAAAGGGGAGAGATTTGAAGAGTAATTGCAAGATAAAGGCAACATATATGCTTTCTTTCGACTCGCCAGCAATCGTTACTGTCTTTCCTGCTGATAAAGCCAACGGTAGGTTCAATTCAAACTCATCTCATTTCCAAGCTCTGGGTGAAGCAAAGATACAATAGAAGTTCAGCACCCAATGAAGAAAAAAAGTCATTTTATATTTCCCTCGTTGTAAACGATGCACAACAGTCTTAATGCATACTCATTTCCTCTTGACAGTGGCCGGGCTGCATATAATTTCTAACATTTAATTCTTCTCTGAAGAATAACAGGTCATTTCTCCGAGTGGCACAAAACTATGCACTACAAGTTCTTTGCAATGCAGATTTCTCTTTCAAAGTGCATAAAGAGTAGGTTTGGTTAGATTTTTCATTCAAGTTACATAAGAAGAATTCAGGTAGAGATAGGCCAAGTACATTAGAATTTCTTCCTCCTGAAGAGCGATCCATCTTTTTACCAACAGAGGAGACATATTTCTTTCACGCACAGGCCCCCATATGCAGCATTGTAGATCTGTGCTGTAACTGATGCAGTTGGACTATTCCCAATCTGCTTACGGAACCGCGGAACACAAACCAAAACCAAATAATAAAAGTACCTTGTCAGAAATTCCAGTTGAATGTCAAAATCCACAATGGCAAAAATTTAAGTGTATTTTCATAATCCAAGCAATGATAAAACTTAAATTAAACTTTCTAATATCAAAGTGTACTCATGCATTGTAATTTTAGAAAAGAATGGCAAGTGAGAAGGTTATGGGTGGGTCCACAGCAAGTCTTCAACCCAAATTTTTACCAGGTATCATGATGGGCATGAGTGTTAAATGCAAAGAAATATGTCCAAATGAAGAACAAGACAAAACCTACTAACAGGGTTTTGGTGCTGGCCGCTGTTTTTCAGTAATGCTTGTTTGACAGTGAAGGGAACAAGCCACACAATTCTGTATAATTTGCCAGAAATCACTACAGTAAAACATTTTAAGACAGTAGACTGGACAGAGTACACCATGAAAAATGGAAGTAGTGGAACAAATTCCCAACTAAGCCACTCTAGGTCTAGGCTAAAGCTCCTTTCCATCATTGTCCATCCCCTCCAAACAGAAACACACCAATGCACCCTTGCCTCAATTTTTTGCACGCATTTCTACTTGTCTTTGTGGAGTTAGAGACAATAAAATGGATCAAGTGCATCATTAATAAAGAAACGTAGTTAAACAAAATTCCCATTTGAACCCATTATAGAGGCCATGCTAAGGTTCCTTCCCTCTCTCTTTCATGCACACACACACCCAACCTTGCACATGACACACCCTTGCATCAATTTTTTCACGCATTTTTCTGGCCTCAGCTCAGGTCATTTTAGGAGTGGCACAAACTTATAAATGATCAATTAAGCAGGCCAATTTCCCCAAAGAAAGTTTAGAAACTATCTAATCCTTGTGCGATCCCATCTGATCAAGGATAATTACTGGATATCAATTCAAGATACATTAACGTACAGGTTTAGAATCTCAGCCAAGAATTAAAATTAAAGATAATTTTTTGGAGCTCAGCCCATGATAGTTGTTTTTACAGATTCAAGTTACATGAACCACATCTCATTGCAACAATATAATCCCAAATTGTTTAGATTCTAAGTCTCCATTGTTAACAGCAATATAAACATTATTGTATCACCAAAGAGACAGCAACAGCACCAAAGAATTTTACAACTAAACTTTCTCTATTTGAGCATATTCATAAAAATCCATCCCATTCCACAAGTTTGGACTTCAAGCCAACACCTAAACCATCCAGAAAACTTTCCATCTACTGTGTGATCCACATAGCATTCTAGGTGCCTCATAGGTGACAGAACTGACCCTCCCAAGGTACAAACATCAAAGTACACACCAAATATTTGGAACCTTTTCAATGCACAACCCATGGCATTAATTTCAAGAATACATATCAGGACATCTGAAATATCTTTAGAAGCTTTTGCAATTTTACTTATTCATTGCAACATTTTCAAGTAATCAACAAATCCATCTGCTAATAAATGATTGCCTTCAATCTTGTGATCATCTGCAATGATTGAACCCCAAAATTCATTTGAATTCCTTTGATTTGACATTTATTAATAGTTTTCTTATCCTGGCATATTTTACACCGTTGCATACATGGATCTTCTTCAAAGGGAAATCAAGGCATATAATCATTCCTAAATACTCTAAACACATTATATGAATCCCAGTCAAATGCCAGATGAAAACAGAATCAGTACCTTAATGATTATGAATGCAACAGGGAACCATTCTCCATGTTAGCTTCCACATTCCATCCTCTGAAAAAGTTGAAAGTAATTAGCATATAAACTAGTGATTGCTTGTAAGAGAAAATAAACCAAGTGTTGAAGGTAGATCACCTCTCTGAAGCTTCTCTTTTAAGTTCCTCTATCTGCTTTTCAATTTTGGTACATGCCTCTTGGATTTCTATATTTTTCAGGCAAAGCTCCTTCCATTGTGCGGATAAAGCATTCAGCTCATATGCAGTATTTTGCTGTGTATTAAAAAAAATTAAAAAATAAAAACAGAAGTATTTAGCTGGTAAAGTCAGGAGAGTATGCGAACAGGGAAAAAGATGGAGAGCTAGAAATCAAAATTACCTGATGATATTTCCTTTCACGGTTCACAGCTTCAATCTTTTCATTCTGTTCCCGTGCTAATTTTTGTGTTCTGGAAGGAACAGAAAATGTTGAAACCATGAGATGCAAAACAGCAAAAGGCTGTACAAAAGTAAACCTTGCTTTGTTGATAAAACTGGAAAAATGAACTAAATATCTATGTTGTTGAAGAAGCAAATAAAGCAAGAAATTGCAGCAAAGATGAATTTTTTTTTTTTCTCCACACATAACACTGCAGTGATTCTAATTTTTAATTATTTCTACAACATTTGCAAGGTCTCCACCTCAACAACTCACACAACAAAAGTACTAAATAAAACTTTTGATTTACTATTACAAACTGCAAACTATAGCCAAGTAATGATTTCAGGAGTCTGAATCAAAAGATTTAATAACAAATAATCACAGCAATAGTTGCTCCCCAAAATGTAACCTTAATACAGACCTGGTTAGCATTGCTTCCAATTGTCGGTTGTGCTGTACCCAAACATCAGGACCATATTTTGACATGAGTTCCAAATTTTCAAGCCTGAAAAACCATAATCACAATGCCATCAATACTTCACATGTGGTCATTAAGAAAGCTTATATGCAGAAACTAATTGATAGTCAGGAATCTCACTGGAAGGTGAAGAATTATTAGGATTATCATAGAAGAGATAATGTTAACAAAACAGGATTAAGAACGAAAATTTACGAGGCAGCTCTTTCAGCAATTAGCAACTTCCCACTCAAATTGGAGAAACATCAATTAAGAAATAACAATAATTACCACCCATAGTAATAATCATGACATCTATTACTGTTTTTTTTTTCTTTTTAATACTTACAAGCAGCAGGGTATGTGCAGGGCCTTATGCCACCACAACTAATCCAATCACTGCTTTAGACTGGTCGCACCAGCACACACACCGTGCCAATTTGAGGCACAGTCTAATTCCAAAGGCCTCCCATTGCCTGGTATCATCAAGGACAGCAACCATCCCAGCTATCCAAAGGCAAGAGTCAAATAAGAAGACATTTCATATCACCACCAGAGCCCCCCTTTCGGTGGTATGACAACTATTACTTGGAGCAGAGGTTCCATTTAATCAGTTGTTTAACCTTTGCAGTACAACTAACAAGAAATCATACCACTAAAAGCAATCCATCTCAACCACTTCTCCTTAAATTATTTCCACTCTCAATCACAATAAACTTTTCACCGACAACTATTCCATATGAAAATTCGCTCAGCAACCAAATAACTGACAGATAAACATTGAATAGTAATATAAAAATTACAAAGCTCCCTGACCTGATCACTTGATGCTGCAGCAAGCGTTGGGCACGTTGAAGAGCCTGTTTCCAAGCAGTCTCATCATTCATTTTATTCGCAGCCGGCAAATCCAAATGAGAATACCTAGAAAAATCAAGCGTAACCGGCGGCCTCCCCGCTCTCACTCTCTCATACTCTTTAGCAAGCATCGGATAATTCTATCATTCCAACATATAAACCAAAATTCCTCAAAATCTATTATCATTTCAACAATTAAAATGTAATAATAATAAAGTAAGTAAAAACCCTAACCTCGAAAGTAAACTTAGGGACGGGAGGCAATTCTTTTAAGAAATCGGAGGGTTTTTTGGAGCTTCTACGCATCTCTTCCTCGACAAGACGGTCGACTTCAGCTTTGACAGAAGGGTTTCCGTAATCGTCGTCGATGTAAGGCAGTGCATCGATTATTTCAGCATTGGAAGAAGCGGACCAGGGCCGAGATGCCTCTGGTGGTGCTTCTAGCATCAAGATGTCACCGTTCGTTCTGTTGCTTGTCGCCATTGTTTCTGTCAGAGAGCTCTTTTTTTCGAATTGAAGCTAAAATAACCCAAGTTGAGCTTGATCGGTGCAAGTAATGGGTTACAAGAGGGCTTTTTTGTTGTTTCTATGGGGTTACATTTTGGTCCTTGAAAACTTTATAAAATCAATTGTGTCCTTTTTAGTACTTGGTTGGCTGATGTATTGGCTGTAGTTGTAGAACTAGTAGGTTTTTCACGTTATGCTAGGAATCCAATAAAATAAATTTATTTTAACTTAATAGCATATATTATATTATTTTTTAATTAAAATATATAAAATTAAAGATAAAAGAAAAATATTTCATCTAATTTTATAATTTTCAATCAAAATTTTATATTTAATTTATTCTTTTTTTTTCATATATTTTGTTATTAAAAAACCCGATTTATTATTCCTTATGCATTTATTATTAAATAAAAATATGTAATAATTTAAATATTAAATTTAATATAAAATTTTAAAAAATATCTTAATAATTTTTTTTCATGAGATTGCATCAAAGAAATAAAAAACAATTAATATAAAAACTTATATAAAATTTAACAAATGAATCTTTCTTATTGTTATTTAATGTTGATGAGAAGACTTAATTTTTTGATAATATGTATTTTGATTGATATATATATATATATATATATATATATATATATATATATATATATATATATATATATATATATATATATATATATAACCACACAAAATAATATGAGTATAAAAAATTATATTTTGATTATTAGTTTTTTTTTCTAAAATATTATTTACTTGTTTTATTTGAAAGAAATTAATTTTATTTTTTAAAAACAGTAATAACAAATAGTTGGTATTATGTGTGTAGACTCATAGTTAATTTTTAATAAAATCAATAATTTTATTTATTTATTATACATCATGACTATATTCAATGGATTCTCTATGCAGCATAAATCAAAAACTATTTTTAAAAAAACTTAAATCGTAAGGAATATAATGAAGTTAATAGATTGCATTAAAAACAATCATGAAATTAATTTCGATAAATTTTGATTATATAAAAATAAAACACATGAATTATATTTTTTAATTCATTTTTTTATTTACAAAATGATCAATAATATTAGTATAAAAAATTATATTTGAATTATTAGGTGGTTCTTCTAAAATATTATTTTACTTATTTTATTTGAAAGAAATTAATTTTATTTTTTAAAAAATAACAAATGCTTGAATTATATTTTTTTAATTAATTTTTTTATTTACAAAATGATCAATAATATTAGTATAAAAAATTATATTTGAATTATTAGGTGGTTCTTCTAAAACATTATTTTACTTATTTTATTTGGAAAATTTTAATTTTAATTTAAAAAAACAATAACAAATGGTTGGCATTATGTGGGTAGATACATAGTTAATTTTCAATAAAACCAATGATCTTAATTTATTTTTTATACTTCATGATCATACTCGGTGGGTCCGAGTGTACAACATAAATCAAAAAATATTTTGTTAAAAAAACTTTAGTTATAAAGGATATATTAAAGATAATATACTACAATAAAAGTGACCATAAAATTGATTCCAATAAATTTTAATTATATAAACAATTAACAAATAAAACACATGAATTTCATATTTTAATTATTTATTTATTTAAAAAAATCAAAAATCCATACACAAATAAAAATAAACTATATTTACTAACAATAAAATTATATATATAAAAAAGAAGAATAAAAAACTAATTTGAAGAGAACTTTCATAAGAAATGACAAATTGAAAAGATCAAATTTAAATATTAAAAGCAATATAATTCAATATACATGTTTATGAAAAATCAAAATTCAATTAAAAAATGCATAAAAAAAAAGCCAAAAAAGATAAGCCTGGTCCATTTAGGAACCAAAAATATTTTTGAAAACATTAAGGACTAAAATAAAACATAATGTAAAATTTGCATATATGTCAAAAACAACAAAAATTCACGAAAATGACGTCGTTTAAATTTTTTTTTAAAAAAAAGTAAATAGTGATTTGTGAGGAATAAATAGAAAATGAATGGTAAAACCTCGAGAAATTTTATAATACACAAAGAGGAACTAATGACATGTACGGTAGTTACTCCATGGATCCATTTTAAGAAGAAAGATAGACACATTAAATTATATTCGGACCTATCAAAAATGATAAGAAGATTTTCATGTTCTCTCAATTTTTTAATTTTCTCTCTCCTCTCCATGGACCCACTTTGAGGAGAGAGATAGACAAAAAAATAAAAAGAGAGAGATAAAAAGGAGAGAGAAAATTAAAAAAAATTGAGAGAATATGAAAATCTTCTTATCACTTTTGGTGGGTTCGAATATAATTTAATGTGTCTATCTTTCTCTTTCAAAATGGGTTTATGGAGTAACTACTATACATATCATTAGTTACTCCTTGTGTATTATAAAATTTTTCGTAAAACCTCTATTCTTTTAATTGCTTTTTTGCTAATGCGTAGGCCTAGTAGGATTACCTTAGGTCATAAACTTTACAAGCTTCAATAACGCTATTAAGTACTACTATAACAATACAAAGTAGCTTTATCATCACCTCATTAAAAAAAAAAAAATACTATTCATTGTATTGTTTGAAACATTATTCATTTAGACTCATATGCATTATTCGGATAGATTCATATGCATTATTTTTTTTACAATGCAATATATATATATTAGTTTTCAAACTTTTTAAAGGCATTTATTATGAAATTTTTCTGACATTACACTTTAGTTTTTTTTTAAAAAAAATATTTTTCTTTTGGTCCATAAATTTTTAAGTTTTATTTTGGTCCTTTTTTGTTCATTTTGATCACTTTGATCCTTGCTTTTTTTCACTGATTTTCTTAATTAAAAATTTTAAGGCAAAAAGATGTTTAGAAAAGAAAAAACAATTTACAAAACAAGTTTTTAATTAAAAATGTGGATAGAGATAAATAAATAACTTTTTTTAATAAAAAACTTATGAAAATATAAAGAATAATTAGTCAAATACAAAATTTTAATTAAAAAAATTATGAAATTGAATGAATTTTTATTTAATTTCGATTTGATATATTTTAATAAATACAAAATATAGCAAGACACATCAAAATGAAATAATTTTTTAAAAATAATTTTATGTATTTTATTCGATCCTAGAATAGTGAGAGTACAAAAACTAATTATGCCTAAAACTAAATTTTTTATTACTTTATTATACATTTATGCATGCATTAAGATCAATAAAGATGGATTAAAATTTCTCTCTCTCTTTTTTTTTTTTTTTATGATGAGAAATTGAGGTTTCTGTCTTCCAAAATGTTGACTAGATAAGTAGCCAGTTCAGCGTGACTATCAATTAAAACAAGAACCACAAGAATATGAAACATAATTCTTGTACATTTGTATTTGTAAGAGATGGGACTTGAACCATTATCTCACAAGTTTTTTTTTAACCCTAATCTCTTAGCTTTTAACCATCCTTGTGGATTAAAATTTCTAATCTTGATGAACCCAAACACAACTCAACCCGACGAGAGTGGACTTGAAGGATATTTTTCTCCAGATATGTATATATGAATGGAGACAGGGTGACTGCAGTTCTTTTCAAGCATCTTAAAAAAAATAGCAAGCCCATAGTGAGATAGAACAAGAACGTCGCAGAACTGAGAAGAAATCCCTTCAAAGACATGCCAGATAGGGAGGGTGGGGTGTGTGGGAACACTCTTGTGCTTCATGCAAAGTTTCAAACGTTCACTTTCTGTCATTTTTCCAGTTCTAATACCAGACAGATGGAATCCATCACAAAGAAATGACACACGACAATGGCTCGGCGAAGATATTACAAGTTAGTAAAGAATTACAAACTCAATGGAATATCTTTTAGCCATCTTTTATTCTTTCACGCAGTTGAAATTTTGTAGACCCCAAGCCTGGTACAAAACAAAGTTTAACGTGGGCACCCCTTGCATGGAAACCAAAATTATAATAATAAATAAATAAATAAAGGGTGGATAAAGATACAATCGTGCTCACTAGTCTACAAGGTTGTTTGCATAGAGGAGAGTGAAGAACAATTCAACTTCTGGAACATTCCGGATGCTTTGGATAATCTGGTTTTGGCTTGCTTCATGGAGTAACGAAGGTACTATCTGCAGAACTCGTGATAGAAGTTTTGCCAGTGGCATCCCTGATGTTAGACTGGCCCCAGTGGATTGACACTGAGCCTCCATATCATCCACCAGTGCATCCACTGCTACTTTCAAAGATATTCCCATGATTTTACCAAATTCAGCACTGCAAGGGGAAAAAAACAACAAATTCCATTTTAAAGGAGCCAACCTAGAGTTAGTTTAATTAATGTTCATTATCTCAGTTTTCAACTGCCACTAGGCAAGCCAAGCACAAAAAAAACTTCAAAGGCATGCAGTGAAAGACATTCCAAGGATTGATGACAACAAGCTCTTTAATGTTGTGATGAAAAAAGACAACTGGAAAGAGGGAAAGAATCTCCAGATACTGAAATTTCAGAGCAGCAACCACAAGTCATGCATTCAGGAAGCCACCAACAAAAAGAAATAAGGCAAAGAGGGAGATGGAGCTAGGGATGGGAACTTTGGAGGTAGATATCATTAAGTATTCCCTGGAAAAAAGGGAAGGGTCAGAGAACTCTGGTGGTTAGTTTCAATGCTTTTCCATGCCACCACAAAATGTGGAGAATAGCCATCTCCATTATGAGAGATCATCACCCCTCAGTCCTTTGCTGACAATAATGGATTTTCCTAAGCACTACAAATCAAGCTATACAAAACGGTCCTTGACATTCGCACTTCCATGCAATGTAGTCATGTGATTAATTTTTCTCCCTTGTGTGAATTCCATGGGCAAAAGTAACTATAATTTTTTGCTCCTGAAACATAATAAGCTTTTTTTTGCCGACTAGAACAAAAAAATACCTTGATAGCACTGCCCGTGCCTCCACCATAAGTTGATCAAAATTCATGCTATCAGGAAGGACAGTGTCGTCAGTGCTGGAGCTTGTGCTTAGTTTGTAGTGCCCACTATCTGCAGGCATTAAGTATTCTATCCATTGATGCGGACTCCCCTCGCTCATGAAATTGTCAAGTATTTGCATGACAGTTACATGAAGTGATGTGGTGTTGAATAAATCCGTCAACTTCCTTCTGCACGAATTAAGAGTACAAGCAATTTAAGCAACACTCCAATGGTCAAAACATTTAACACTATGTCCAACAGATGCTTCATATTTGCATTTTTCATTAAAAATGCTCTTTCGATACATTAGCTTTTTGTTCACTACGCCAGATGTTCCTGTAACAGATGTCAATGAATGAGTGATTTCTCATTTTATGAGCCTCTACCCATTTGCTTGGAAGTTGTTCTTATGTGCCTTAAACACAGATAGTGCCTAAAGGAGTCTCTATGATGATTTAAACATCTTCATTGTCAAAGAACCTATCCATATCGAATAAATAAACAATAAATGAATAATATATATACTTGTGAAATGGCCACCCACCAAAAGACTCAAGTCTTGTGGTGGGTGGCTCATTCTCAACTTTACATATTACTCATCTATTGTTTATTTATTCAATGTGGGATAGGTTCTCTAACATTCAAGAGTGGCGTGTCAAGAAAGTCAAACATAGGCCAGATTCGCTGAGGATTGATTGAGAAAATAATGGAGTTCTAAGTTTAAAATTTAGTTGAGAAAAGTTTCACTAAAGTTTCTGGCTTCAGCATGTTTATTTTGAAAAGTGAAAATCCAATCATCAGAAGCGTGCACACATCACTATCCACTCACAATTTTCTGCATGCTATGTTGCTCCATTATTAGATTTAAAGAGAAGATTAGTAGCTGGTATGTACATGCATTTTTCAAACATGGAAACACTTACCCCTCAAGAACCTCTGTTACCACTGCTTGGATATTTGAAATCAGTGGCAGCAGGCCATTATTAGCAAGAAAATCAGCACTAGCCAAAAAATTTTGCTGGTCATCCCTATCAATGAGATCAACATTCTCCTGTGTCAAATGAATGGAATGGATTAACTTCAGAACAGCATTAAGAATACCAGAAGCATGAACATATGGTCTACCAAGAGTGGGTTACAGTGTTTTCAAAGTATTAACCAACCATGCTACCCATCACTTACCTGACTGGCTGAAAAAGAGGAATTTGAACAAGAAATTAAAATTCATATACACATGCAAAAGGGAGAATGACCAAAAACAAATGTTTACATCAAAATTGCAGGGCGATAAATTTACCCAGGTTTACATAAATTTCTGACACCAAATTATCGTACACCTTCCCTTTTTTTTCTTTTTTGATGAATACTCATTATCATGCACTTCCATTGATGGTTGAATAACTGAATCAATATGCCTCCATTTTAGTGTTGGTTTGAATAACCATAAAGATGATGGTACTCATGAGAAGAAAAAACTACCACAAATAAGGTACACCACAAGAATAGGGTATAACACGCTAGGCGCCATGTACATCAAAGCACCCAGAAAAAGTCGATTGAACCATCCTAAATTAAGCTTTCTCACTTCCTGACAAGTAGTAGCCTGTTTCGGCCCATTACAGCAAAATCAATATATCTAGAAAGAAACAGAACCACAAAAGACATGTTGTATTATCATGGGTGGCATAACTTTAAGAATCAGAATGACCTCTCTCCCCATGCTTCTCTAACCACCTATAGTGTTTTCCATTCAGATGCAGGTTAAACAAGCAGCCAAAAAGAGAGGAACAACGACTAGCTCAATTCAGTTATGAAAATCTAGTTCAAGAGATATTTTCATTTTATGCTGTCAAGACAATGACCTCAACTAACATCCGTATCTAAGATACCAAGTCAACTGTCGAATACCTTTCTTCTTCATTTGTATTGAAAAAGGTGGAATGCACAGATACAAGGAGAAGAAGAGAGACTCTACAATGTGAAAGAAAAAAGAAGAAATAAGAACAAAATCAAAGCACTATAGCACACCAGTCCTGATCCACTACTGCAAAGGGGACTCCTCTGAGAACCTCCTAAAGCTTAAGTCCATAAAGAGAGGCCAGGAAACAAGGTCAGGAAAAAACTCCACCTCGAAGCAATTCCTCAAATGAGAAAATTCATCAAATGTTTTTGAGTTCCGTCCCATCCAAATTTGCTTCAATGCACAACATAGGGCAAATGCTGCAAGATTTTACCATCTCCCTTCCCTACTTCAGCCTCCCAAAAGGACCCAAACACATTATTAACAATTTATCCACTAAGCTTGGGATCAGTACCACCTAATGTTTACGGCAAGTTATAAAACAAAATCATGAGCATATCCAGTGCCCTTGGACAAAATATTGATAAATCATTTTAGTATATAATATATGGTAGGCGGATTTAACTCATAAAACCCAGCAGCAACCCAGACATATACAGTCACTTGTACAGGGAATAGGTAGCTAGTAGCAGCTACCTTACAAGTTGCTTAGGAATAGGTTGCAAATAGGCATGTGGAGATTCTTTGACGTGAAGGAAATTAGGTATATATAAATATGAGAGAGGGAAAGTTGAAAAAACAAAACAAAAAAGGGGTGAATTCAGTGCTGGAGTTATACCAAATGAACCCCCACCCTTCTCCATCTCCTCACTCATTTCTCTCTTTCTCCTCAACAAATCTCCCTCCTTTTTCCTCTTTGCATAAATTCTCAGCAAATCCTGTCATAGTATTCTGTGAAATCTGATTTCTAACAAAAGTCAGATTCTCGCCCCTCCTCACAGCCTCCTAAGCTAGGAGTTATACATTCATTTTTAACATCACACATCCCAACCACCTTCCAAAGCAAGACATCTCATAACCTCATTTTCAGTGCAATCCTGCATCACACACATGCAGAAGCATCCTCCCACCTGCCTGACGCACATATGGGGGAATTGCTGCAGGAAGGGAGGCCTGTTTGTCAATTGAAGAATTCTAGCCAATGCACCAACCCTTCCCCAACTCCTCGCTCATTTCTCTCTCTTTCTCCTCAATAACTCTCTCTCCTATTTCCTCTTATTCTTGCACCTCCTCACATCCTACAAAGCTAGGACTTATACATTCATTTTTATCATCACAACACAACCACCATCCAAAGAAAGACATCACATGACCTCATTTTTCAGCGCTATCCTACATCACACAAATGCAGAAACATTCTCCCTACTGCAGGCGCATGGTTTACTTATATACAGTCACAATGTATGGTGCAACTGCCGAAGGGGCTCACGCTCGAGAAAACTGATGACTAAAGTAGCATTTTCTGTATGGGAGATGCCTTAAGGCTTGAAACCATTAATAAAACAAAGAACATTGACACCTAAATCCATATAATATGCATAGGGGGTTGAAACAGGGGTCTTAATTAGTGATCGCATCATTCTATACCATAGGGGGTTGAAACAGCATCATTCAACAACTGTCCCCACTACAAAATTACAAATACAAAACATCATCAAGACAACCATCCAGAAACTCCTCCTTAACCTTAAGGACGTCAATACACTTTGTTCATGAATTACAAGTAAGACGTTATTTATTCTCATCTCAGACTCTCAAGAAGAAAAAATTAACTCCTATGTGCATCAGGTGATAATTAATATACATGCTCCTCCAGAAGCCTCCCACCTCCTAAGACGTGGACCATAGTGGAGGATGTCAGAAGTGAACAAAAGCCTGGACTATATCAGCAGCTAATCACTTCTCCTAGGCAAGCTATTGTAAACTCTCCAGAAGAGAGCTCTTCATGAATCATTTCAGATCTCCACCATTAACAATTTAATTTAACAAAAGCCCGGATTATCTCAGTAGATAATCACTTCTTCTAGGCCAGCTATTGTAAGCTCTCCAGAAGTGAGCTCTTCATGAATCATTTCAGATCTCCACCATTAACAATTTAATTTAACAAAAGCCTGGATTATCTCAGTAGATAATCACTTCTTCTAGGCCAGCTATTGTAAACTCTCCAGAAGTGAGCTCTTCATGAATCATTTCAGATCTCCACCATTCTACAGAGCATCAGAACTCTATATTCCATACTTAGCTAAGTAACTTCAGAGTCTTAAAACATTATGTGCTGCAGAGTAATGTACTGTACAGCTCATTCTATATGAAACCAGGCTACTAGTCTACACAAGCCTACAGTTTAGATGATCTACATGCCTTCAAGGACACAATCAAGAAGCACAGGAGTAAAACCACAGCATGCAATAATTCAACAGTGATGACAATTGATGTTTGCAGACGGATCTGCAGATCCCAAAGCCCCTTTTTGGATCAGTTCAGGGTCTGAGAGTACAAATCTTAAAGTCCATATTCACAGTCAAAACAAATAACAAAGATAGATGTTAAGGAACAGTATTTTGTTTGGTTATAGGATGTAAACTTCAATCTCTGACTAATTGCTCTTTGAAGCCCGTACAATTAATTGGCAGAGAATGTACTTGCTTAAATGACAAACTAATAGCAATCTGTAACCAAATTAAAGTTGAGAGAACCTCAGCGATTTTCAACACAAAAATCAATTGCATTGGACTAATTAGCCAAGAAAAGCGATTCAAGACTATACATGGCAGACATGCAAAGGAAATTTAACAAAAGTTGCTTGAAGGAACACTGATAGTTCTGAAAAATGATGTATGTATCTTAAACATGGGAACAGAAACAGAATGGATCTTACAAGTAAAAGCGAGCTTCCAAGGCCACGTGCAGTATCGATATACAAATGCCTTCCTAGAATATTTACTTGAACTTTGATGTATAAGTTAAGCACTGTCACAGCCCACAGCGACACCATCATTTGTGTGAAACCTGAAGAACCACAACCATGAAATTCAACATACTCTAACATGTAACTTGCAGTAATGCAATAAAAAGAAAAAGAAAAACTGATAAATATCTCATATGCACCATGAATATGCAGAAAAAATAACTAGGAGCATACTTAGGAATTTGAGTCTGTCCCACAGTTCAAGTTTCTCTGAAGAGGTAAGCGTGTTTGGCTGGCCCTTCCCTTTCTGTAGCCTTTCGGTGAGCTGTGAAAGGTCCAACTCTTCCGCCATCCGACTTCTTAAATATTCCATTGCATGAGGCAATGTTGTTGTATCAGCAATTAATTGCACATTCTCAAAATGGGCTTGCAATCTATCAATAAAAGTCATAAGGCACAGATAAGAACCAACAACACATCATTCATAAGAGGGGAAAAAAGAGAGAGAACGTATTCAAATTCTCTTAACTGGGCCTTGATGAGTTCATCATTTGCCCGTTGGAGAGCAAGTTCTCTATCCAGATCAGCAAGCCTCTGTTCGTGAGCATTGTATAGTCTATACACAAAATACCCACTTCCTAAAACACCTGCAGTAATAAGAATTGTCCTCCTATGCCTCCTCCAAAAATTCCTATATTGCCAAAAGAGTACTAAATAATCAACAAGCAATAAAACCACAAGAAGCAGTTATTCGTAACCAAAATCTAATCATTAAAGGAAAAAAATTGTGAAAAAAGCTAAGCATTCACAAAAAAAGAAAAAAAAGAACAGAACAAGAAGATCAAACAAGCAAATTGAGAAGCAAAACAGTTATTCTAGCAAAGGCTATGCATTAAACAAAGAAATGACACACACTCAGAATAAGATAACACATAAATTAAACCACAAAAACAATCACATAGACAAAACTCCCGACATGAAACCCATTTGAAGAAAAGAGAACCAAATCAATAAAAGAGCAAGTTAGCATAAACCCAGAAAATTAAACACGAGAAAAGCACAGAAAAACCAACCTTAAAGAAAGCATTTTTAAATACTACGATGCTATGCAAACACCCAAAACCCCATCTCTAAGCTCTTAAACCATTCAAATCCATCACTGATACTGTGAGTTGCAGGCAGGCAGAATAATAATAACCTGCCTTTAGGCAATGTAAAAGGTTATGCTTCTTATCTAAGACTATCAGTTTGTATAGATAGAGAAATAAGGGTTTGAAAAAGGAAGATGGATTGGTGAGAAATCTGAGCACTTTGTGTTAAAGAATTAAAAGAGGCAATTTGGGTTGCAAGGTTTAGACTTTTTTCAAGATAATAAGCAGAAGTAGTCGCCAAAATGGTTGTTGAGGTTATGGATTGGAAGTACTTCTTACGTCCTCGTTTGTTTCAACCTTCAACTTATGTCTTTTTACTCGATGTACTTAATTTCCAACCTTCACAGCTCTTCTAAATTATTCGTTTCCCTTTTTTTTTTTTTTTTTTTTGCCCTTTTCAATGAAAGCTTTCTGTTGTTTCTTTTTTAGCTGAAAGGTGCTCATCATCCTTGAGGTTTTGGTATATTTAAATTTAGTCCCTGAAAATTTCAAATTTTTTAGTTTGGCCTTACTAGAATTATTATTTTTTTATTTATTTTTTATTTTTGTATGAAGTACGCTTTCATTAAGAATAAAGAGGATACATCAGAAAATATTATATTTCTTAAACAAAGGAGAAAATCTTCTATAAAAACTTGCTCCCTAACATTAACCTTATTAGATTAGCTACTTTACGAGCAACTTTATTTTTCAAGTGTTTGGCATGATTGAAAGAAAAGGATTGGAGACGATGGATCAAAGTTTTAAGTCACGATTCTTTAGCAAGATAGACACTATAGAAGCAGCAGACGCTTCACCAATGGCAATAGAATACTGTACTTCCAAAACTTTAGGAGCCCAAAATATATCAAACTTCTTTCATTGGTAAAGGTTTTAATTGAAAAACAATTATTGTTTAAAGGTCACATAATTAGCTTTTGTATCATTATAAATTTTGTATAATTTAAGGGACCTCTGATGAAAGTTGATTTAGAATTATCAAACTTCTTTTTCAATAGGAAGGTATTATTTGGTTATCGGTAATGAAACGATAGAAATAAAAATAAAATTTTTATTCATATTTTATAGGTATTTTGTTGAAATAAATGAAATAAGAATTAAAATTAAGATTAAGAATAGTTCTATTTTAATCTAGGATATGAGAATAACAATAAGAAATGAGAAAGAATTTTTATTTTTAAAATAATAATATATTATTTTTATTTATTGTGTATCAATTATTTCTAACACCACTATTATTGATGATGATGATAAATAAAAAAAATTATTATTATTATTATTCCATTATCATTTCTCATTAACCAATACTACTACTTTAATTATATCATCACCACTAACATTGACAATTGTGATAAAAAATTATTATTGTTGTTATTCTTTCACCACTCTTTCTTACTCACCTCCATCATTTTTATTATATCACCGTCATTATTTTTCTTTATTGCCACATCCTATCATGTTGGTATCAAATTTTTTAAGACATGTTATTGCTATTACTATATTATTATTATCACTATCTCATCCTCTTACTCCACCACCACCACTATCGTAATTATTTTTATTATTTTTACTATTATTATAATTGGTTAAATTATTTTTAACTATTTTTTATATTGAAAACTAGATATTAAAAATTTATTTTTTATTATTATTTCAAATACAATATGAAAATGCAAAATGTCATCCAATTCTCTAATTTTCATTCCGAATTTTATTTATTTCTAGTAAACAAACGACACCTAATCGGTTAACTATAGTTATTAAATTAAAGCTTATGATATGATTCAATTACCTTAAATAAAACAACAACAAAAAATCATAGTGTAATAAATTTTTATTCAAAGTTGTTTAAAAAAACTCTTTTTAGTTTCTCTCACCTAAATAATTATTAATATCTTAATTTCAAAAAAATAATTATTATTGTTCATATCTTTTTTTTTTCACACGCATGTCAAGAGGGATTTATTCTAGATTGTTAATTCCTTAATAAATGGGATGTTAATATTGGTTAGCACTTAGGCGCCTTGTACACATGGCTAGCCCACCTTATAAAACAAATTAAAGTAAAACATAATTTTACTATTCACTTCACTATTCATACACTCACAAATCACTATTCCTTTTACTATTCATATTTTTTTAACACTTTGGTCCTCAAATTTTTTAAACTTTTTTTTCAGTTTTAAACTTTAATTATATTGTGATTTGGTTTCATTTTATTTTAATATTTTTTATTAATTATTTTTATTATTTAAAATTTACTATTTAAATTTGTCATTTTTTAAATTCTCTTCTTTTTTTTTTCAATTTCAAATTTTAATTTGTTAATTATTTTTATTATTTAAAATGTACTACTTTAATTTGTCATTTTTTTAAATTCTCTTCTTTTTTTTTTCAATTTCAAATTTTAATTATATTATGATTTGATCCCATTTTATTTTAGTATTTTTTATTAATTATTTTTACTATTTAAAATTTACTACTTTAATTTATCATTTTTTTAATTCTCATTCAATTAATTTAAAATTATATTTATTGACGAGTTTTGATTTATTTTTCTATATATATGGATTTTGGAATAAATTTTTCGAACATGATTATTTTTTCTTTTGAAAAATAGATTTAGATCATTTTTAAATTATAGTGGCATGATTAATATATATAATTTATCTAAAATATATTTTTAGATTAAAGTTATATTTCAAATAATTTTTTCTCAGCTTTTTATATTATTTAAAATTTACAACATTAATTTGTCATTTTTTAAATTCCCTTCTTTTTTTTTCAATTTCAAACTTTGATTATATTATGATTTTGTCCCATTTTGTTTTAGTGTTTTTTGTTGATTATTTTTATTATTTAAAATTTACTACTTTAATTTGTCATTTGTTTAAATTCACATCTCATTAATTTAAAATTATATTTACTTGACAGTTTTGATTTATTTTTCTATATGTATGGATTTTGAAATAAATTTTTAGAACATGATTATTATTTTTTTAAAAAAATAGATTTAGATACTTTTTAAATTATAGTGGCATGATTAATATATATAATTTATCTGAAATATATTTTTAGATTAAAAGTGTTTTTCAAATAATTTTTTCTCGATTGTTTTATTATTTAAAATTTATTACATTAATTTGTCAATTTTTTTAAATTCTCTTTTTTCTTTTTCAATTTCAAAATTTGATTATATTATGATTTCATCCCATTTTGTTTTAGTATTTTTTGTTAATTAGTTTTATTATTTAAAATTTACTACTTTATGTCATCCTTTTTAAATTCTCATTTAATTAATTTAAAATTATATTTATCAATAATTTTGATTTATTTTTCTATATGGATGGATTTTGGAATAAATTTTAGAACATTATTTTTTTAAAAAAAATAGATTTAGATAACTTTTAAATTATAGTGGCATGATTAATATATATAATTTGTCTAAAATACATTTTTAGATCAAAAGTATATTTCAAATAATTTTTTCTCCATTTTTTAGAAAAAAAATCAAATTAATTAATTAATAATTGAAAGTCAAATGTGAAAAATAAAAAGAAGATGGTTGCTCTATGCGTGAGGCCTATATTCAAGGACTAGCCATGCATAACATAGAATAAAAAAATGTTTAAGAAGGAGGGAAAAAAAAAGAATTCACATGTTTTATTAATTTTTTTCTTCTTTATATAATTAAAATTATTTGAAATCAGATTTGTAATAATTTTTATTTTAGCCTATTAACTTCAAATTTAGTCAATTTATTTCTTACAAGTTAATTTTTTATATTATTTTTTTGTTTTAGACTGAAAACTTTAAACTCGCTTAGTATAGTTATGATGTATAAAAAAAAATTGAGTCGTTATTTTTTTAGAAATCAACTATGCAACTACTACCACACTAAGCATTTACTATTTATTTATTTATTTTTGAATATTTTAAAATTAAATAATTAAAATAATATTTTGGTTTAACCACTCAATGATTCAAATTAATATAGTTTTTTATTTTACTATTATTCATTCTTTTGTAAATAAATATATAAAAATTAAGTTCATATTTTTTCAAAAACCGATATTCTCATCAATATTAAATTAAAAAAAATATTTGTTCAATAATATGTAAGCTTTTAATAATTGTTTTTTATGTTTTTCGGCACAATCTTATGAAATACTAAAAAAAAATCAAAAAATTATTTAATTCTTTTTAGTTAATGATCCATGGATTAACAATGATGAATCCTCTATCTAAAAAAGAATTATGAAAAATACAAATAAGAAATAGTTAAATACAAAATTTTTGATTAAATATTTTTTTACACTTTTGATTTCATATATTTTTATAAATTCATACCATAAAACAGTACAATCAAACTGAAATAATTTTTTTAAAAGATTTTATATATTTTATTCAACCCGCAACGTAGTAGGGGCAAAAAAACTAGTGTCAAAACTATACAACTCAACGGCATCGGTTTTTGAACAAGAAAATATCGTTCTCTTTGAATATTCGGATTTCGTTTTTTTCTTTTTTGCATATCCATAGTTTTCTTTTCTCAATGAATTGCTTGCATCATTGATCTATCATCTTTTGAATTATTTATTTTCAGATTGAAACAATTTGTCTTGGACGTTGCAATAAAAATACGTACGCAAATAATAATTCAAAAGAGAAGCGGTAAATGTATGAATTTGTATTGCCCTAAAAAATTATTTTAGAGTTTGTTGTAGAAAGAATGACAATATTCTCATAAGCCACTATTGATAGTTTAATACTACTTATAAATAATTATTCATAGGATATCAATTTTTATTTTCACATATATTTAGTGTAAAAATT